TAATATGCTTTCTATATCCTTTTAAATTCTGTAAAATCTGTGGTAATGTCTCCTAGATCTTAATATTGTAATTTTAAAAATGTATAACAGGTATTGTGTAACAGGAAGAAAAGGTCTAAAAGAGCAGGGGAATTGGGAGGGGTAGGGGAAGGGAAAAAAGGGAAAGGGAAAATATGAAAAAAGGAAAAAAATGGAAACAAGATCTTTGCAAATAGGGAAGGGAGGGCAAGGGAAGGGGAAAAAATAAGAACCAAGAGACTCATGTAAAGGTACAAGATCCCAATGATGAATGTAACTATTTTATACCAAAAATGTACCAATAAACTTAATGGGAAAAAAGAAAGGAGACAGGAAGCACAGAGAAGTACAGTACTGTATAAGAAAGGATAGGTGAACAAAGGGGCTTACATTTTAGGAAGTGTCAAAGGACAACAAGAAAGTAAATTATGGTAGAATTAGCTAGAAATTCAATTAATTTATGAAACTTTGTAGTAATGAGTCATATAGTTTACCCTCCTTACTCTAATAAGTAGTATAAAAATATATTATTTACTCATTTTTAGTACTCTGTTTATGCCTGGTAGGTTGTACCTGTCATCAGTTTTTTTTCATTATAGAATTTTGCATGGAAAAAGCCCCATATCATTGCTACTTTTGCTTTGGAATGTTAATTGTGTAGGTTTTTGTCCTCAGTGATTTACCATTTTTCTGTATAGTTGCAAATATAATTAACAATTAAAATATCAATACAAAATTTTCATGACAATTTCCATGTTTCCACACTCTTCACAATATTTTTAATAGTTGGCACCATAATCCTAGTACCATAATTTAATCATTTATTGTTATTTCTAATTTGTTTCTGTTGTAGGAACAATTTTCTTGAGTAACTTCATAATAATGATTTTTTTCTTAAACTATTCTCTTGGCATACATTTCCAGGAGTGAGATTACCAGATGAAAAGAGAGGGATTGAACATTTTTATGACCTCTTATATACTATTCCTTTGCTAAAGTGTTATACACTGCAGGTTCTTGGAAAGAAGGATGTAATGGATGGAGTGCTTTACAAGGGTAGCAGCCATGGAAAGAACTGGGATTGGGAGAAGAGACTAGAGTATGAGAGATAGCTAGGAGGATAAAGTGACCCCAGAGCTTTGAAGGATTGGTTTGTAGTGGAATTTGGAAGGAAATAAGTTGGACATTTTGAAGGAAAAATTGATAAGATGCGGTAGCTAGAGATCAAGCATGAAGGACAGAAACTGATTTCAAACTTTCTAGTTTGAGATAGTAAAGGAACTAGAAGGAAATGGGGAGTTTTTTTCCTTTACTGTTCTGGAAATGGAACTCAGGGCCTCATGCATGGTAAGCAAGTGTTCTCTTACTTAACTACATCCTTAACTTCCAAGAATTAGGGACATTTTGTCTGAAGGAAGTCTTAAGATTTTATGGTTCCCTTCTAATATTTGAATGACTATCACATGGAAGAAGAAAATTTCTGAATGGCTACACAATGCAGAATTAGATAGAGGGTAGTATTATATTACAGGTAGAACAGTCTCAAAATGGAATGGAGGTGCTTCAGAAGTAGTATGTATTAACAGTAGGGTAGGTCAGGCAGAGATTAAATGGGGGAAGATAAATAGAAAACATTCGCATGTATTATATAAGTGTCCTTCTTGGCCTCTTTGTTTTAAAAACCCATGTCCTAGTCTGTAAATTTGAAAACCTCATACCTTTCTTTAATGTGGGAGCGGGGTAGGGTAGGTAGGTATTTAAAATTTTTGTTTTCCACGTATAACATTGTAATATTGAATATCTTTTCAAATGATAAAATTCTCTGGTAGAGAAGTTTTATAGTAGATTGTTTTAGATGACTCTAGGGATGCTTTCAATTTACATATATTTCTAACTTGAATATGAAGTGTCAGTTTCTACAAATAGTAATTGAACTCTGAGCACCCTGTCACTACTTAAATGATTAGGCCATTATTTCTAAAAGTTGTTTAAGAGAGATTCCCCATATTTGGTTTGGGAATATATATGTATTGTTTTCAAATTTAAGGATAGTCCCTGGATAAATTTCTATCATGACTATATATTTTGTATGTGAATTTCTGGGAAATCAAGGAAATGCCTGAGAAAGGAATGATTAGAATTGTTTGTATCCCAAAGTCACAGAAGATAAAATAAATTTTTATAAGCCTCAAAAAGGGTAGTTGTGGACCACAATGTGTAGAGGGTGAGGAACTCAGGACTGTAGCAACTTCAAAGGATTTCTGAGAAGGGAAAATAAGGATAATGTTTTTATTTGATGGTGTAGTGTTTGTTATAAATGTAGTTTAGTATATATGCTGCCAAAGTGACCACTGTTATAAATGTAGCTTGAGAAAAGTCTGTTTCTAGGCTAAGTTGGGGCAGCCCTGTTGAGATGTGTTTCTTATAGAGAAAATGTCAAAATAAACTTATACTTGCAGTCATCTGTCTCCTGGAGACTGAACCTGTTGGAGCAGCAGCTATTGAGTTCTGAATTGGATATGATCATCTCCGTGGTCCCTTCCCAGTCTAAGTCTCTTAGTTCTGAACAGTTAGGGCTGAATGATTTTTGTTTTGTTTTGTTTTTCCCCCAGTGTAGTGTTCTTCAGAGTCTAAAAGAGCTACTGCAGAATTGGCTGCTGTGGCTTTCTATGGATGTCCACATGAAACCTACGATGAGCAGTCCTCTGTAAGTTATTTTACAGTCTTCCACTAGAAGTAATTTGTACAGAAATGTTTGCATTTGGAATTAAATAATGTAGCATCAGAACCAGTTGTTTCATATAAGCACTTAGTAGTATTTTTCTGAAAGACTTTTTTGTTACTTTTCATTCTTCTTCCTCATAATCCTGAGAGAAAGGTTAATTCTCCAAGTTCCTGTTATATAAATCAGAAAACAACCCTTTAGCCTTGAAGTGACTTGGCAAGAGTTAATATAGCAAAATCTTGGAGAGCTGAGGTTAGAATTTACAACTTTGCCTTCTGTTCAGTTTAATTCATTTTATAAAATGTATGTAAATCTCACCCGGAGGCAGTTTTGCTGCACATCTTTGTTTTTATGATTCTCTTTTGTATTTTCGTTATATGCATTAATGTATTTATAAATTGACTTTGGAGTTAATAAAGAGCCCACATTTTCGTTAAAGTGAATTAAAGATTTTTGTTTTCCACATGTAACATCATTGGGCTTCAATAGTTTTTTTTTCATCTATTGTACCCTTCACCTTCTTCCAGTATTATTTTTAAGCAAAGCCTAGATACCATCTCAACTGTAAAGAAAATTGTACCATTTTGACATCTAAAAATTTGATAATTTTAATATCTTCAAAACTAACCAGTGTTCCAATTCTCCTTGGCTTTGGTTGCAAATAGCTGGTGATTAACTTGGTTAAAAGAGTCTAGGCCCAGTTTCCCTTCTTATCCCTGTAGTGATCTATTAGTGGGGTAAAAGAATAGAAGATAGAAGCTTCTTGAGAGTAGTATAGAAAATTGTTCTTAATTTACTGTATTCATAACATGGTTGACTATTTTTAGAAGGAAATGAAGTATTAGTGGGTAGTGAAAAACACCTTGTAAAGCTGTGCTTCTCAACCTGTGCTCCTTGGACCATTGGTATCAGAATCACCTTGGAATTTGTTAGAGATTAAAATCCTGAGGCCCTGCCCTAGATCCAGTGAGTTAAACTCTGGAGGTAATTCTGGTCCAAGAAAGAATGAAAAGAAAAAACAGGAAAAGAAATTTTATTAAGAATAGTATGTTTGTGGTGTGAGAAACTGAAAGTGTAAATAAGGACCAAAATGTATAATAGGTAATGTGAAATGGGAAGAAAGTATTCAAATGGGAAGGGGCATAGGGAGGGGAGGGGGGGAAGGAAGGAAGGAGAAAAAATGAGAAAAGAAGGAAAAATGGAAACAGCTTTTGTAAATAAGGAGGGAGGGGAGAGGAATGGGGAAAAAATAAGAATCAAGCTATATCATATACAAGTACAAATTCTGTATGATGAATGTGATCATTATGTATATCTAAATTGTACTAATAAACTTAATTTAAAAAAAGAATAGTATGTTTGCATCTGAATACTTTGGCCAACTAAGTACATTTACATGTATAACCTCTGGCCAACTTGCAGTGCAGCGCTTCCAATTTCTATACTATCTTTCCAAAAATCCTAGAATCCTTCTTTAATATTGTCATAGATTCAGGGAGAACATCTAAAAAGGAACAGTGCTTTCTAAAATTCTTTAAGCAAATAAATGGATAAATATGTAGGTAACTTTGCTTGTCATAATTAACACTATATAGTAGAGCTCTTAGTTTCTCAACAAGTCCTTTTGGATATATGGGTATACATAATATTATATTTCTGTCATAGGACCGTATGCCATATAACTCTCAAAAAGGGAATAAATCGAACTTATAAATCACAAAAAGAGAAGGGTAGAGGACCATTCTCAGCAAGGACATTTCTGTTTGTCATAGTGCCTGGGAAGAAGGTGCTATCATCTTATAGTAGGTGGCAGCTAGGGATTTTAAATGTGTAGTCCTGACCAGTGAATTGTTTCTTCCAAAATGCCAATAGTTTCCTGTGGAGAAACACTTCAAAAAAGGCTGTTCTGGGCTTGGGGATGTAGCTCAGTGGTAGAGTTCTTGCCTAGCATATGTGAGGATATGGGTTCAGTCCTACTACTGCAAAAACAGAGATGGGGGGGTGCTGTTTTGAACAGTCATCATTGTTGCAAATATTTCAGATACATTTGCCAAGTGCTACCAAAAAATCATAGTTAAACTATATCATTTTTGCAAGTACTATAGCTAGTTATGGGGATGCTGCCTATCTAAATGGTCTCCAAATCCTTCCCTCTGTTCCTGCATGTTTTAGTACTGAAGCATCATGGTGGTGGATTGTAATAGAGTTACCATCTCTCAAGCTCTGCGACTGTATATTTTTCCATTTTCCTATGCATAACCATTGTTGACTATCTAAATAGGATAAAACTATGAATTCACATTTGTGGTTCTTTTCTAATCTGCTTAATAGTATATTGAAAGAGGTGAGTGATGGGTGGATTGAAAAATTATGCCCAGTGTAGTTTTAAAAGATTCAGTTTATTGATTTGGGGAAAATATAAAATAACCAGAACTTGATTTTACCGGAAGAAAGATGCCAAAAAATTTGCTAATTCAGTTTTAGGATTGGATTGAATTCCAGTGGAAATATTTTAAACAACGTTTTTAGTTGAGGAATTTAGGCAAAACTGGGTTTGGATTTCTGTACCTATAGGTTTTACTCAGTGTGTTGCAATGTTGTTGGCATCATAGGAAAAGATTATCACAGTCATTTTAATCTTTATTTCCTTAAACTACTTGTGGTTTATTTCAGATTAATTAGTTCTCATTTTTCTAGTTTTTTTGTTCATTTTCAAATTTTATTCTGAATTTTTCATGTTCCTTTGTTAGTGAATACTAATTTCCTGCTTGTTTTTTATATAACTTTCATTTAAGGATTTCCATTATTGAGGAGTATCAAAGTTCACTGCTTACCAGTTAGTAGACACAAATATTTTGATCCCTAGATATTGGTAGCATTATCTATCTACAATCAAAACTTAATCCTTTTTCCTGCTGAGAGTGTTCTATGAATTGATGTTAATAGTTCCCTAGAGGACTAAGTGTATTTTTATGATTAATCACTGTAATTTATTTACATACATTATACATTGAGGTACTGATAGCTTTTAAAATCCTTGTCAACTTTTTGTTATATATTATCTACCTTTAGCTTAGAAATTGTGGCATTTTTGTTGTTCTGGATCTAAATATTGCAGTTTCTTATTCCAGAGAGACAACTTTGGGTGAATCCATGAACTCTGTGTCTGCACTGATTCACTATGTAGGATGGCTGTCCACTACTGCCATGCGCTTGGAGAATAACAGTACTTTCTTATTGCACTTTATTTTGGATTTCTTTGAGAAGGTAAGACATGTTTTATTTTCACCATTTAGATTTTTGTGATATCTCTCTATAGGCCTATTATTTAAATTCCATGTACAACCTTTGAAGGTGGGCTATGGTTCTTATTAGTATAGTTTAAATAACCTCACATTTTGAAGTTAATGATTATATTTTCACCTGAATATCTGACTTTCATAATACAGAGTGTAAAAACAAATGTAATTTTTTTTTTGGTCCAGGTTCCATACATTGACCTGTAGTAACAGTGTTGGCCCTAGACAGAAATCTCTAACATCACTTTTTATTCATCCATTGTATATCCCCAACCTTTTAAAAACCAAAAATATCTACTTATTTCTCTAGATCTCTACTCCTACCTTTTAACTGCCTTATTTCTCCTGGTAACCTAGTACCTTTATAATTCTAGTCCTCTTTTATTTTATAATATTCAATCTGCATGGAACTATTGCCACTAAGTACCTATTATAATCTCACTTTTCCTGGCTTCCTCTCTTCAGTAATATCTAGTTGTCTTGTGTTAAGCATTTGCTTAGAAGAATGCTCTCCTTTGTTTTTCAAATTGACAGCTAACTGATATAATAAAGTATTTATGGAATTTAAGGAGAAAGTAGAGTTCCCTTTCTCTGCCCTGCCCCATCCCATTGTAAGACTTCTTCCCAGAAAAAAAAAGATTTTAATAATGATTTTCTAGAAATAATTTTTGGTGGTAAGGTTGATGTTTGATGAGGTATATTTTAAACAGACCTGTGGCTGCCTATTCAATTTAGGCATCAGGAAGTTAATGTTACATTCTTATATTGATGACTCTTTGGTTGAAGTTGATTGACTTCTGGAAAATGATTTAAATACTTAGATTATCATTCTCCCCTAAAGGTATGTGATATATATATAAATCATGACCTTCCATTAGTGGTGTTGCTTCCTCCTGGGATCTTCTATTCTTCACTCCTCAGCTTGGATACCAGTATCGTGAACCAGCTTTGTTACATTATGTACAGGTACAAGCCATTTTACCATTTTATGAATTAGTATGTCATAATTCCGTCTTCATCTTTCAACTGTTATACAGTAAGAATTTTTATTCATTTTCTACCATGGTCTTTAGAAATAGGAAACAGGGCTATTTGAGGGGCATAATCTTCCAATGTGGGACTATGATAGCTGTATTATCTCTAAATCTGTCATGCAGTTATAAAGATCTGTTGTGCAATGGTATAGGTTGTTAATTTTAATTTCTGTGTCTTAAAGAAAAATTAGTCATTGGTTGATGACTGGCTTAAATGTATATAACTTCTCTGGTAAAAAGAACATTTTCTGAGAGATTAAAAGCTGTTGCTTTTTTTTTGGGTACCAGGAATCAAAGTCAGGACCTTGCGCTTGCGAAGGAGGCGTGATGCCACTGAGCTAAATCCCTGGCCCAAAAGCTGTTGCTTTTATAAGAGCTATAAGTGTTGTTTATGATCTCCTATAATTCTTTCACTTTGGAAGTCAAATTACACTTTTCACTCTAAATGTAGACCCTTTTAGCATAACTTGTAGAACTATATCAGGGTTAATATATTTAAAAGCTAATTAAACAACAGTTCTCAGGCAAAAAGAAAGTAACATTTCTAAATTTCTGCTATACCTTTTTTTAACATAAACTGTTCTGTATCGGTAACTAATGATTTTTGACTATTTTGTAATAGTGAAACATTTAAAGCATGTCTCATTTTATTTTTCATTGAGGTAAAATTTACATATAGTCACGTATTAAATGTACAACTCAGTTTTGAGCCTCTATTTTAATTCTTTGAAGAGAATGCACCACAAAAGAATGAAATCTTTAACTAACTAGACAACTGGAAATTTGTGTATATGCACATTTGCATTTATTTACATTTAAAATGTACATTTTCATTTATTTTACATTTCAAAAGCATTACATCCAAAGTCATGTTAAACACTTCATTCTAATTTTTTCTTACTGCTAGGTATCATAAAAATTTGATTGCTGCAAAGAAGAATGAGTTGGTACAAAAGGTATGAATGATAAACAACCTGTTACATCACCATTGTTTAAAAACTGAGAATAAGAAAAAAGAGAATATATGATAATGACAATTTTATTTCTTTCTTATTAGGCAAGATCAGAGTTCAGTTTCAGCAGCAAGACTTGTCAACAATTTAATCACTATTTGACAACCATGGTTGGTTGCCTGTGGACGTCCAAACCCTTTGAGAAAGGAATATATATTGACCCCAAAATCCTAGAAAAAACTGGAGTAGTACAGTTTAAAAACAGCTTAAATATAGTCCATCACCCTTCTCTTTTGAGTTATGCTGCTTCCTTTTTGCTACAGGTAAGGGTGTCTAAGGGATTTTTAGATTTTATGTAGTAATACTAAGATGGCAAAAATGGGAAATGTCATAATTTTAGTGTGTCTGCATTGCAAAACGTGTTTGCTATTTTTTTCAGTACCAACTAAATTTTGGGCATTATCCTAGACTCTGTCTTTTATAAGAGAACCTGAGCTTATAGCAGAGACTGATTTGTAAAAAACTTGTTATAATACAGTGTGGCAAGTGATAAAAGTTATAGTTGTGAGAAAGATAGGGAAATGGTTTGTTCAGTTCCACTTGAATAGAGCAGATGCCAGATACAGAAAGGTGTCATAGAAATGGAAGCTCTCCTATATCCATTCTAGTCAAGATGGAAAACTTAAGCTAAATAATATTATAATTAAAGAGTCTTAACTGAAGACTGTAGATTTAATGGATTGATAATATGTAGGTGATGGGGTAGATGCCTTCTTAGAACTTTATCCTTAGCTCTCTCATTTTCAACATTATTAATGATTTGGAGAAGACTGAAATGGTGTGCATGTCAAATGCATGTATGACACAATAGGATTGGATTATAAATAACCTGAACAAATCTGGATTCAGAATTCCCTTAGCAGGCTGGAATACTAAGTCTAACAAAATGAAAAAAAAAGTGCAGTATGAGGAAATATTTCTTGAATAAATGTTTAATCTATGCATACAATGAACCAGGCATTGTAATGAACAAGACACATGTGGATGTTGCCTTCATAGAGCTTTACAGTATAGTCAGGGAGGCATCTTAGAATAAGCGATAATGACCAAGGTATGAGGGTTCCATTTTCTCTACATCTTTCCCAACACTTACTACCTGTAGTTTTGATTCTAGCCATCCTAGAGGATGAAAAGTAATATTTCATTACGGTATTGATTTGAATTACCATAATGTATATGTTGATATTATTCAGCGTCTTTTCATGTGCTTATTGGCTATTTGTATATTTTCTTCAGAGAAATGTTTATTTGGACCTTTTGTTCATTTTTAATTGGGTTGTTTGCCTTTTATTAAGTTGTAAGAGTTTTTCTATATTCTAGATATAAGTCCCTCATCTAAATATATGATTGGCAAGATTTCTACTATTCTGTGAATTTTTCTTTTCACTTTTTTGTGTCTTTTTGAAGCACAAATATTTGTCATTTTGAAGTCCAGTTTCTAATTTACTTTATTTTATTCCTTGTGCTTTTGTTGTCAAAGCTAAGAAATCACTGCCTAACTCAAGGTCATGAAGATTTACCCCTGTGTTTCAGTCACTTGAAATTCCATATGAATTTTACAACCATCATGTCAGTTTCTACAAAGAATCCCAGTAGAATTCTGATAGCTAATGCTTCGAGTCTGTAGATCAATTTGGGTAGTATTGCCATCTTAACAATGTGAAGTCCTCCAATGCATGATGACCAGATGTCTTTCCATTTATTTAGGTCCTCTGTTTTTTTCAACAATGATTTAAAGTTTTCAGGGATTTGTAGTTTCATACTTAATTGTTAAATTTGTTTTTAAGTATTTTTCTGACACTATTATAAATGAAATTTTTCTTAATTTCATTTTCTGAGTGTTCATTGTTGCTGTATAGAAATGCAATTGATTTGTCTATTGATTTTTTTACCCTGAAACCTTGATGAGCTTGTTTATGAGATACAGCTTTTCAGTAGATTCTTTAGGATAGTTTATATTTTTTTTTATTTTTTA